AAAATTGTTTATTTGTTAAATTTAAAAAAAAATACTTGCTGTTGGCAAGGGTTTGGTGAGACTAACACTTCTATGCCCTCTTAGTGGAATTATGAATTGGTGCGGTATACTTTTAAAAATAAATTTTTAATTTTGTAATAATTTTAGATTTACGGAAAAGTTGCGAATGTAGTACAGAGTTTTTGTGTATCCCTCACTGAATTTACCCCAAGGTTAACAGCTTACATTACTTAGGTATGTTTGTCAAAACTAAGAAACCAATATGAACTTATTACTATTAACTAAACTCCAGAATTTATTTGATTTCACAAGTTTTCCCATTAATGTCCCTTTTTATGGGCCAAGATCCGATCCAGGGTACCAAAATTGCATTTCACAATACCTATTTTTTTTTAATATTCATATTTCTTGTGGAGAAAGGAGACCTCTTATGTATGCTACACTAGTGGAAAGGCAACTGAGAGATTTTACAAGCCCCAACAAGGACGATTTATGTTGTTTTGCAACAGAGTTGGTCTGGGATTCTTTCTGGACCCTGGACCACTGGCCCCAGTAGTGTGTAACGGTTTTATGTCACTTTCTGTCCCCTTTTTCTTTCTGTTAATTGGTACCAATTTTCTGGAGGACATTAGGGCACATGTAAAATGCATACACTTTAACCCAGCTACTTGCCTTCTAGAAATGTAGTCCAAGGAAATAAACATGGGCACAAAGATTATGTACAAGGACATATCAGGAAGAAACCTTTGTAAATGACAAAACGTGGTGCTGAGGAACTTCAGCAAGTAGGGGATTTGCCGGGAGGGTGCTGAGCAGCACTCAGTGCTGTGAGAGGAGTGAGATGAGTGGGCCTGGGAAGCACTGCCCACTGACCCCTCTGGGGATCCCAGTGCCTGAAACTGGTGGCTGTCTGTCCAAGGTGACTCAGCTCCAACTGGCTCCCCTTTCTGGATGCCACCCTCAGAGTTCAAGTTCACATGGCAGAGGGAAACAGAGTCTGTGGCTGGTCTAGAGTGACGAGCCCATGCTTCTGGTCAGTAGGAGGCAGATTCTGCTAATCCTTAACCCTACCAGTCATGTGGAGGGAGGGAGGGCCACTTCCCTAAAGGGAGAGATGCAGAGAGAACACCACCAACAGGTTTGCAACACAGCATTATTTTATATATAATAGGAATGTTAAATACATTAAATATGTGGGCTATATTATACGCATTATTTATTTATTTATTTTGAGACAGAGTTTCACCCTGCTGGCTAGGCTAGAGTGCAGCGGCGTCATCATAGCTCTGCAACCTCAAACTCCTGGGCTCAGGTGATCTTCCTGCCTCAGCCTCCAAGTAGCTGGGACTATAGGCATACACCACCCATGGCTGGTTAATTTTTCTATTTTCTGTGGAGATGGGATCTTGCTCTTTGCTCAGGCTGGTCTCGAACTCCTGGTCTCTAGCAATCCTCCCACCTCGACCTCCCAAAGTGTTATGATTACAGGTGTGAGCCACCACACCTGGCCAATTAATACTATTTTTTTTTTTTTTTTTTTTGAGACTGAGTCTCACTCTGTTGCACGGGCTAGAGTGAGTGCCATGGTGTAAACCTAGCTCACAGCAACCTCAAACTCCTGGCTCAAGCAATTCTTCTGCCTCAGCCTCCTGAGTAGCTGAGACTACAGGCATGCGCCACCATGCCCGACTAATTTTTTCTATATATTTTTAGTTGTCCAGCTAATTTCTTTCTATTATTAGTAGAAACAGGGTCTCACTCTTGCTCATGCTGGTCTTGAACTCCTGACCCTGAGTGATCCTCCGGCCTCACCTCAGCCTCCCAGAGTGCTAGGATTACAGGCATGAGCCACCTCACCCGGTCGTCAATTTTTTATTATTATATGGCAGCTTGCTGTAAGTTTCTACATGCTCACCCTCAATTTCTTCATTTATCTAGTTTCAGACCAGTTAAACTTTAAGTAGCTCTGCTCTAGAACAAGCGACATGCCGCTCCGCCATGTTGCTCATACCTCAGTTCTAGAGCCAAAGTGTGTGTTGGTTTTCTTTTCATACGAGTAGTACAAATCCATTGTAATAACAACACAAAAAGAGACTTCCCTCTCATCCCTACTCCCCAAAGGTGACCACTGCCAAGTATCTTGTGTATCATTCCAAACACTGTGTACCATTAGCAGCTTTTCATATCAGCACACACAGATCTAGCTCATTATTTCTTGTTGGCTGCATAATGTTCCATTGTGTGGCTGGCCTACTAGGTGCATTGCCATTGCAAAGAATACTGCAATAGGCCGGGCGTGGTGACTCACGCCTGTAATCCTGGCACTCTGGTAAGCCAAAGCAGGTGGATCTATTGAGCTCAGGAGTTAGAGACCATCCTGAGCAAGAGCGAGACCCCGTCTCTACTAAAAAAAATAGAAAGAAATTAGCAGGACAACTAAATATATATATATATATATATATATATATATATATAATTAGCTGGGCATGGTGGTGCATGTCTGTAGTCCCAGCTACTCTGGAGGCTGAGGCAGTAGGATTGCTTGAGCCCAAGAGTTTGAGGTTGCTGTGAGCTACGCTGACGCCATGGTACTCTAGCCTGGGCAACAGAGTGAGACTCTGTCTCAAAAAAAAAAAAAAAAAAATACTGCAACAAATACTCCAGAGTTCTTTGCCTACTTATTCCAGTAAAACCACAGGAAAAATCCCTTGCTGAGTAAGTGCACTTACATTTTAAAAAACAATAGCTATACTGAAATATAATTCACATACCATAAAATTCACACTTTTATTTTCTTTTTTGAGACAGGGTCTCACTCTCTTGCCCTGGGTTGAGTGCAATCACAGCATCATAGCTCATAGCAACCTCAAACTCCTGGGCTCAAGTGATCCTCCTGCCTCAGCCTCCTGAGTAGCTGGGACTACAGTCACATGCCACCAGGTCTGGCTAATTTTTCTGTTTTTTATAGTGATATGGGTTGGGGGGTGTCTCACTCTTGCCCAGGCTGGTCTCAAACTCCTGGCTTCAAGCAATCCTCCCGCCTCAGCCTCCCAAAGTGCTAGGATTACCAGCATGAGCCACCTTGCTCAGCCAAAATTCACCCTTTTAAAGTATACAATTGCCTGATGCAGTGGTGCACACCTATAATCCCAGCTACTTGGGAGGCTGAGGCAGGAGGATAACTGGACCCCAGGAGTTCAAGTCCAGTATGGCACAACATAGAGACCTCTATCTCTAAAAAAATATTAAAATTAAAAAAGTATTTAATTGATTGGGTTTTACTGTGTCAGAGTTGTGCAGCCATCACCACTAATTACAAGACATTTTCCTCCCCTCCCCAAAATCCCATACTCATTAGCAGTCACTTTCCATTCTCCCCTTTTCCCAGGCCCTTGCAATCACTAATCTACTTCTATTCCTATGGATCTGATTATTCTGGACATTTCACATAAATAAAATTATAGAATATGTGGCCTTTTATGTCTGGCTTCTTTCACTTAGCATGATGTTTTCAGTTCATCCATGTTGATGCACATACCAGTACTTTATTACTTTTGATGGCTGAATAATATTTCATCATATGGATATGTTATCTTTTGTTTATCCATTCATCAGTTGATGGACATTTGGATTGTTTCCACTTTTTGGCTATTATGAATAATGCTCCTATAGACATCCATGTGCAGATTTTTATGTGGACATATGTATTTATTTATTTTTTATTATTTTTGAGACAGTCTCACTCTGTTGCTCAGGCTAGAGTGCCATGGCGTCAGCCTAGCTCACAGCAACCTTAAACTCCTGGGCTCAAGCAATCCTCCTGCCTTAGCCTTCCTTGAGTATGGACTATAGGCATACTCTGTCTGGCTAATTTTTTCTATTTTTAGTAGAGACAGGGTTTTACTCTTGCTCGGGCTGGTCTTAAACTCCTGGACTCAAGCCAACCTCTTGCTTCAGTCCCCTGAGCAGCTGGGACTACAGGTGCACATCACCATGCCCAGCTAATACTTTTATTTTTTGTAGAGATGAGGGTCTCATTATATTGCCCAGGCTTGGTACTCAAACTGATCCTCCTGCCTCAGCCTCCCTAAGTGCTTGGGATTACAGGCATGAGCCACCACACCTGGCCTGTCTTTTCCTTTTCTTAAGTGAAACACCAGTTTGTAATTTTGACGAAGTCCAATTTGTCTTTTTCTTTTGTCACTCATGCTTTTGGAGTCCTAAGGAACCATTGCCTAATCCAAAGTTAGGAAAATTTATGTCCGATTTAAGAGTTTTATAGTTTTAGGTCTGTGATCCATTTTTTTGTTTTGTTTGTTTTTTATTTCAGCATATTATGGGGGTATAAATGCTTATTGTGATCCATTTTGAATTAATTTTTGTATATGGTTTGGGTAGGGGTCCAACTTCCTCCTTTCGTATGTGGATTTCCAGTCATCCCAGCACAAGTTGTTGAAAAGGCTACTTTCCCCATTGAATTGTCCTGGCACCCTGCACTTACATTTTTGATGTTGCCAAATTGTTCTCCAAAGAGGTCGCACTGGCGTGTCTTCCCACCCATAGGAGCTGCACGGCTGTAGCTCAGATTGGGCATTAAGGGTCAGCCAGGACATTGATAAACCCAGGCTGTCGGGGACTATCGCTAGGGTAGAGAAGTGTGAGGTGGGCTTGAGAGCGGCAGAAGAGGGTGGGTTGAAGGAAGTGAAAGTGTTTTTCTCAGAGAAGAGAAAAATGCAGGGAATATAAACTCTCTGAGTGGGAGGTACCTGAGCGTAAGGCCCTGTTCTGCCCCCTACCAGCTGAGTAGTCTTGTGTAGTTGTCAAATCCAACCCTCTGGACTTTAGCTTCATAATCTGTTAAACAAAGATGGTGACCACTCACCTTTATAGGGTTATTGTGAGGAGTAAATGTTTGTATATACCCCAGCCCAGGACAGGCCTCAGTATCAGTAGCCATTGTGACATTTCTGTATGTGGTATATGTGGCTGAGATCATGTGATTGCGGGGGAGCATCACAGTGGGATAGTGTTGGAGCCATTCAGCGAGTGTGAGATTTTTAATGATGACTGATCACGTGGAGAAACTTGGATCTACTGGTAAGTGTCACTGTCACCCAGAGCAAGGCAGTACTTGAAGTCTTTGCTGTGACATGTTAAGGGGGGGAGAGACTGTGACTGAGATTGGATGTGACAGCAAGACAGATCCTGAGTGACAGAACGGAACGGAGTAGGGGGAGGCAGGCTGTGCTGGGCAAATGTAGGGACCCAGTAGGGGCTGCTTGAGAGCTCAGATGTCAGGGCAGGTGTCTGTCTGTAGTGTCCCCTCCCCTACAGATTTCCCTCCCTGCTTCCTAAAAGCAGGGAGGAAAGGAGGAGGGCTTTCCCCAGGGAAAGGGGATTTTGATCAGAGTGTAGAACCTACAATACCTAAGGGGCTGTGGCTCAAGCACCTTTGGTATCACCACCCAAGGCCCAGGAAAAGAACCTGCTGGAAATGTGTGCAAAATGGGTGGAGTGGAACTTGGACTGGTTTCTCCTCTCAGCTTTAGTCTTCAGAGTGGACGATAAAAACAGAACCGAAACCTAAGCATTCCTTCCTCCTCTCTGTCCCCTGGGGGAGGGAAGAGAGGAATAAATGCCACATCTCATTAAGCTTTTACGAGCTCAGACAAGCAGAGTGGGCCCACACCGGAGGCAGGCAGAGGGCTGGGGGAGGCTGCGGGAAAGATTCCCCGGCTCTCTCAGGGAAGATGTGTTCCAGAACTTGGAGGCCTGCTCTGAAGGAAATGAAATAAGGAGTTAAAAACAGATGTGGGAATAACAGCTTCTTTTATTAAAATGAAATCAGAAGGGCAATAGGACAGGAAGTTGGGTAGATGTGGGGACAACAGAGAGACAGTGGCAGAGGCAGGACTGCAGATCTGTGGAAACTGCCTGGAAGAGTCATCTCTGAGGCATGAGAGAACTGAGGATGCGAGAGAAAAGGGAAAGGCTGATCTTTTATCACATGAAGCTGAAATAATGAGATCTTAAATACAAGTGAGAACCCTACTGCCCTGACCCAAAGTGACTTTTAAATACAAAGGTATAAAGGCCTGGCATGGGTATTAGTTTGAATAGGGGAAATTTTTTCTTCTTTTTCTTTGAACTCAAAAAAATTGAAAGAATTAAAACCATGATTAAGGCTGCGCAATGATCCAGAGGGTAGGGGTGGGAGAGAGAATAAATACCCTAATGACCCACATATAAAACAGACGATAAACAAGAGCATGAGATTTGAGGTTAATGGAAGGTCTTCTTGCCAGTGCCGCCATGGAGGACAATAGGGCCACACGGGTAGTCGCAAACACTGCATCTCCCCACTCCCTTCTCGGGTGTGAGGACCAGGGGTTGGAGTGTATGCGGTGCCACAGCAGAACCGTGGCCTGGGCTTTAGCAAGGCAGGAAGACCCACTGCTGATGAAGTGGCAGGTAGGGATGGGGTGCCTGGCCCTGGCTCTGTGGGCACACAGAAAGAAGGAAGACAGAGGGGAAATCAGGCTGCTGGGGTAGTGCTTGTAATACTGGGGTGGCCATGGGCAGGCAGTAGCATATACAAGAGCACCAGCCTTCCCGGGGCCAAGGTGCAGACCCTAAGTTCATACCCCACCAACTGGCTGGAAAACTGTGGGGTCAAAGCCACACAGCTGGACTCTGGGGCAAGGCCCACTTTAGCCAATTAGAAGAGATACACCTGTGGCCAGGTAGGCACACTCCTGCAAATTGGGGAAAGGGAGAGGATCCTGCAGCCTTGCCCAGTCCTGAGCTCTGGGTATCTGCAGGGGAATGGAGTAGTGAGTTAGTGTTAAAGAAAAGCATCCAGCAAGGTAAGAGGGGCTTGGGCAGCACCCTCTCCCTCTGTTACTTTCGCAAGAACTTCTTATTGAGGAGGAAGATGAGGAGGTTGACATTGACTTTGGCCTTGTTGAAGAGTTTCATGACAGCCACACCCTCATACTGGAGCTGCAGGAGGTCCTAGGAGGGAAGGGGCAGGGAGGGAAGTTTAAAGGCTCTGGCTGTAGTCCAGCCAGAAGGTCTACAAAACACTAACGTCCCAGAGACTTACTCAGCCACTAGTAGCACTGGCCACTGGAGTAGGGCATTGAAGCCCCACTTCACAAATGAGGAAACCAAGGCCAAGAGAGCTAGGTACAGTGACTTGACCAAATGTCAACTCGAGCAGGGCCAGGGCTTGAAATCAGTCTTTTCACTCAAAAGGCAAAATAGCAGAGCAAAAAGATTTGGATTTAAAATCACTGCTTCCCTGAACACTGGTCTAGGACTTAGGCTGGCTTCTTAACCTTTTAGCCACACAGTATGTACAACAGGGATAATACTTCAGAGCTGTGGAGAGGATTAAATGAGGCAACATGTAAAGCCCCCAACATGTGATAGGGCTTCAAATATTAATCCCGCTTGTGACACCACCAGCCCACACCCCTCGCCCTGACGCTTGGCAGTGGGTCTGTGTCAGGGTGTGGGCAAAGGGAGGCTCAGGCTGTACCTTTCTCTTCAGGAATAGATAATACCGATTGGGTGGAGAACTGAGTTGGTGCCATCTGAAGACTAGGGGAGTGAGGCTGGCTATTCTCTTTAGGCCAGCACCGAAAGCCCAGCAGGTGTCTTGAGGGCTCACGGGAGTGTCCCCTTACCTGATAGTGAAGCTGAAATCGCTCCATGTCCACACCCAGGAACTTGGCATTTACTTCAAACTTTCCTGCCTCGTCTCCAGGGGTGATGTCAAAGATGACGTTTCTGAAGCTGTCAGGAACAAGATTCAAAACAGGAACCCATCGCCTCCTTCCAGGGCCACAGTCCCACTCTTGCATCCCCCACTCCTCGTGCTGGGGAGCAGTGTGTGTCATCCAGAGCCAGGCTTCCCCCCTGTCACTCCCGGGGTGGGGGGGCAGCTGTCTTCTCCCAATTTCACTTCTACCTACCACACCACCTCTTTTTATCTGCCCAGTCCTACCCAGCTGTTCTCACCTCCCAGCTTTCCCAGCATGCCCTGCTTCAGGGTATCTAGTGCTAGACCACATCCACTGCCCTTAACATCTGTCTGGGGTGCCCTGTCTCCACCATCATTCTAGCATCTCCTTTGAGGCCAGGGCCATGCTCCTCCTTCCCTTCCACCTGGTGCCTAGCCCAGAGCTCCACCCCCCACGTTAGGGGACAGGAAAGGTCTGACATCCTGCCCTCCAAAGACACATACTGAGAGATGGGAAGATCTTCAATTTCCACCAAGACACCCTTCTCCAGGAGCTGGGCAGCAGTGTAATGAAGAGAAGGCTGCTTCTTCCCCTTCCCAGAACTCCTGATTAAAAGAAGGCCCCAGAAAATTCATCCAACAAACTCTTTACCACCAAAGACATTCTTTCTCTGTGGCTGGCAGAAAAGAAGTTAGACCTCGAGGTAGACTTCTCACCAGTGGAAGACAGAGGAGGGGAGCTGCATTGGAGCCCAAGACTTTCTGAGCAAAGTTCAAAGACCAGAGTCAGGAAGGGACTGTGCTGTGGTGGGGGGAGATTCCCTTTCAAAGCTGGGAGACAGTGGGGCAGAGGTCAACATGGACAGGGGTACAAGGTCATGGCTGCAAACGTCATCTTTGATATCACCCCTGGACCTTCTGAGTGGAGGAAGGCAGGACCTACTTGGAGTTGGGGGCCAGGTGGTCCAGGCAGGCCCGGATGTACTGGCTGTAGTAGTCGCCCTGCTCCTCGTAGAAGGTGGTCTTAGTGCTCAGGCCCTGGAATGTGGCCTGAAGCTTCAACAGCTCTGCCTTCCGCCGTTGCCGGTGCCTGTGCTGGTTGCGGATGTCCTGGGGTTGGGGGTACCGAGGGAAGGGATGAGTGGCCCTTCCCAGCAGGAGAGTCTCAGGGCCTGATATAGGCCCAAGAACAACACACTATGAAGATCTTCAGGAAGAGCAGGAAGAGGGAGATTTCAAGGTTGTTTTTCCTAGGAGGACAACCTAAGGATCCCATCCCAAACCCTCAAGACATATCTTTGGGGCTTCTCCACCACTGAGAAGCAATTGGTTTCAAGGCTCCTTGTTTTTTAGTAAAAGAGAGTTGAAAGAACATCTCCCTCTCTAGCTAATTTCAAGGCCATTCCTTCAAAAAGGACCCTCGGCCTTCCTCTAACTGGTGGCAATTTTGGGTGTGCACTCATCAGGGAGAGGCTTGCTCTTGCACTATGATCTGCCCTTGTATGCATGTAACACATGTCTGCGCATACATGTGCAGACGCATACACATATAGGCACACAAAGCCCAGGCCCAGGTCGTTACCTTGGCCAACTCGTCCACTAGCCCCTGGTAGCCGTTGCTGGCACTGACCAACCCCAGGCCTTCGAGTCGGTGCAGGTTCCGCAGGACACGCCGTTGCTTTTCTGCCAGGGGCAGGAGGGAGTGTGCTGTCAGTGAGCGGTGTCGTCGAAGCGGCTCTGGGGTCTGGGTCTCACAGGCCTGGCGTTGGCACATCAGCCGCTTGTGGGCTGCTTCCTGGGGGGTCGAGGGGGCAGGGCAGATGCTGGAGGGGTCTTCCAGGACCTACCATTCTGCCCCCAACCCAGGGCAGGCCCCAGGGCGCCAGCAACAAACGGAGACCTGGGCACTTTTCTGGGCATCACCAGGAAAGTGCCCCAGAGTCCAGCTTCTTGCGGGAAATGGTTGGGGACAGGGTGTAGCTTGTGGGGAACATCAAGGTGTAACACAGGGAAAGGCTTCATGGATTGACATAGGGGAGGAGTGGCCCAAAAGAAACCCAAACAGAAGCTACAGCATCAAGGATTCTGTACAGACATTGGCTGCAACTTTCCAACAGTGAAGCTTTGTGATGGTACCAGGGGGTTCAGAGGCATTTCCTCCCTGTTCTGTTTGGGGACATGCCTCTTATAGGCCATCACCATCTTTTCTCTGGGAAGTCCCTGGCTTAGTCCTCAATCCAGGTGGCCCAGCCTGCCCCTGGCCCCCACCCACCTACCAGCTTCTGCCTCCAGGCCTTCAGGCAGACCTGTCTGTTTCTGAGCACAGGCCTTCTGTGCTCCTAAGGTAGCC